AAACTCTAATATTGAAGACCCTTAAAACGTAAAAATTCAATGTTAAAAAGTAGGTTTCTTCAAAATTAAAGTGAGGTATTCGAATACCTCGTAAGTAACGGCGTTTCAGAACGATTAATGGGTAATAAGCAAACTTATGTTGTATAGCTGATGCTTCTTGTCTTCTTCTTCAACTTTTGACTGTAAGTTGACGTAATTGGTAAAAAATATTGATGTCGTACGAGTTCTTCTTTTTACTGGAAAAATATATGTACATATGCATATGTAATTTGTAGAAAGGTTAGATTGTTATAGATATTTTAAAGTCTATATAGATTGTTATAAATCTGAAACAGCATTCTGTTTTAGGACTGTTCCAAGATATGTAGTATTTAATTGTTAAAATATAAAACAAATTGTTTTAAGTTAAATACTGGTATATTTTATTTCGAATACATTTTTGGAATAAGTGTTTCAATTCCATATTCTTCCCTATTTTGGGTTAAAAGGTAGCAGCTTATCAGAAGTAATTAAACCCATTGATAAAAATGAATGTATTGCTGAGTTAATTATGAAACGATTATGTCCTTAATGCAGTTAATTATGAGCCGATACAGATAAGTCTGTATAATGACACAACAGATATTCTGGTGTTAATTTCTCTAGTGTCGGTAAATACGATCTGCAAGAGATTCGTCAGAGTAAGCTCAGCTTTATTTCTAGTCGTTCTATAGTTAAGTGTTTCATGAAAACTAAAATTATCTTAAATACTTTTAACTTACACCTGTTGATTAAGTCGAACATGCTAAATTTGAAGTACGTAGGCCATAACAATCGTGACTTGGCTGTTAAAGAAATATTAGACTAATTTCTGGTAGATTGTCTCAAAACGTGATTGTTAGGAAAAGGGATTGATTTAGGAAGATTTATCAAAAAGACTCCAACCCAAATAAAAATTGAATTGAAAAATTACCTAATTAAGTGAATTATTGAACATTGAAATAGCTTTTATAGTTATATGAGTGTCAGTGAGAACGTATGCTTTCTTTTTGTGAAAATCTGTGATCGCAGCATGAGGGTAGGTACCTAGAATTGCAAAAACTTCTGCCTGAAATTTTGAAACAAAATCTTTACATTCCTAGGTTCATGTAAAAATTTCCGACTTTACCTTTACATATCAAATCGCTAGCTGCCATTCTAGCTTTGCAGCCTAACATGTCTTTAAAGCTAGTTTGAGGTCACTAAACTAGACATCCGTAACTTAAGATTTTTTTAACAATGGTAGTGTATATATAATCAAATAATTACGTTGGCAAGTAATTCCCAAATCTTACCATCCACTTTACGGTACAAATGGCTATACATACTTTATAAAATCTTTCCTCAATATTAAGCACCCAGTAAGTTTTATATCCTAAATTACTCCTAGCTACTTAACCTTGCGCGAAATAGTGAGGCCATGTATAATTTTGAATTTTATATTTGTTTGTTAACAGCAACAACTCGATCTTAGTAAGTTCAAGCCCACACTTAACTGCTCCTTCCATTATGTTACTCAAAACCGAGGGGAACAAGCCTGTTACTAAGAGAACATCATCATTGGCATACGCTGCTGCTTTAACTCCTCTCTGATCAACTTTCAGAATTAGTGGTTTCGTTGTTATAAGTCATAGAAGAGAAGATAACGTCCCTCCTTGAGAAGCATCTACCTCTCTTGACACATTTCTTAATGTGTACATTGCGACTAATTATAAATGTTTTCCCTAAAGCGATATTAGCTTTGATACTCATTCTATTCCATTCATCTTTCATTCCATTGAGAGCTTTCTGAATGGCTCCAAAAGTAACATTCCTTCTATGTCTAAGAAAGCAGCCAATATATATACATATATTGTTTATGCGCTAGAGAATTTCTACTTTGGTAATTACTTCACGCGTAGTCATTTCTATGGATTTTGGTTTAAAATTTGCATGAAAGTTTTCGAATTATGTTAAGAATTTTAAGCAGAAATGAAGTTAGGCTGATGGGTCGAAAATATTAGCTGCATTGTGACCGGTAGTAGCAGTAATTTATTATGTCAGAATAGACCTAATTCTAGTTCATAGTTTTCTTGTGATCCTAGCCTTTTTCCATTATCATCATTTCATTACTTTTTTCACTTTTATTTCATTTAATTTTTTCAAAATATGTATACGCTCCTTGATCATGGTCCTAAGCCTGTTTTAGTAAAAAGGAAGTTAATTTTAAATAAATTATTATGTAAAGAAATACAGTCAAACTTCCATAACTCAGAAGTTCAGAGCACAGAAGTTATAGTGAAGTAAAATATTCAGAAATTAGGGTTAGGGTTTAATTTTTTTTTTCTTATTTTTTGTAAAAAGAGATTCCAATTTATTAAAACTCTTATAGTGATCAATGATCAATGCAAATAAAAATTTAGAGTTTTATATGACTTTTCTACTTAATTCTTAGAAGGTTGATAAACAATTTCATTCACCGAACCCTCAATATCACTTTCCGTTACGCTTAAAATCGGATCCACTATAATAAGAAGAGTTATAATGCGCAATAATATCATCATCTGTAGGAAAGCTTGATGTACCTACAAATTTCATTGTCAAGCTCAAAATAATCGTTAAGAGTAGCATTGGAAGTTATTTTATTAACTTTACTTTTATATCAATTCACGGACTGCATCAATGTTATTCAAGAAAACTGAAGGAATATATCGTTCTGTTCGTCCCAAGTTCAGAAATGATAGAAAATAAGCAAAATCCAGCTTTATTAAAGCAGTGCACTACCGTTTGCGAGAGACTGGCATTTGCACAAAGAAGCAAAATATATAAGAAAAAATTGAAACATTTGGTTTGGAAAAGTGGACTTCCCCTTACACTAGAATGGATTCATACTTACAACAAAAATTCGACTTATAGACTGCACTTTCCCATATTACTCTTGACACGTGACAATATTTTTGTTCGAGTTATAGAAAATTCAAGTTATAGAACTTCGAGTTAAGGAAGCAGAATTGTATGTATGTATGTACTTTGCTCTCTAAAATCCTGTTGCATTCTTTTTAGTTCGAGGTATAGAGAAATTCGAGTTATAGAAATTCGAAGTTATGGAAGTTTGTCTGTATTTTAAATGATAACTTCTAGTTCAATTTAATATTTAAAGTAAAATAAATATTTAAATTACATAGACACGATATGAGCAAGATTTAAAGGAAGAAATAGACTTATGACGTTAAGAAGATGGAGAAGATTTTTTTCACATCTCCGTATTACATTTTAATCCACTTTGACTGCAGTTCCACTGCAGAATTAACATAAAATAAATTCTTTCGTTTCGTCTTCTATGTTGCTTTGTGTCTTTGCGGTACAAGCATTGAGCATTGGAAGGTCTTTTATCCAACACAAAAAGTGCAGGGACAGCGCACAATGCAGGCGCGCTAATAATAAGTGTTCACTGTTGGTATGGCAGCCTTAGAATGAGAAAATGGCGCATTGCTGTTGTTACCGCTTACCCCTATTTTATTGTTCTTTCCTAATTTTTATTTGTTTATTTGCTGCGCTAAATTTTCTATTTGGAACACATTTACCAATGCGTGGTTAAATCTAGAATTGCTCGTACGAGCAGTTCCAAAGCAACATGGCTTTTAGTGTTTTTTTAGTTTCCTTCTTTTTTGTGCAATTTTAACATTTCTGTAGCAATTTATTGCTTTTTTTAAATGGAGACTGTTTAATACATATTTGCTTCTATATTGATATTGGCATTGTAATTGTCACCCGATGACAATGCGGTAAAATGCGCTAAAGTTCACTCAGCTCAAATATTGCTCCAAATACCACAAAAGTGGCACCAAAAATAAAAAAACAACAAAAAAAAAGTTTTTTTGCCGCAGGCACTTACGAAACGGCCACCAGGGTTAAGTACTTATGCGGCCACATTTTATTATTGGATTAGGGCTGACATTCTTCATACCAAAAAAATTACAGCATTTACATTTGTGTAAGATTTAGATTTCTTCCCTATACAATTGCACATCTCCACTAACATACAAACATTTAGGCATTTAGGTAAATGCCTAAAGGTACTTTTTACTAACAAATCTTAATTTGCATGTTCATTTCTCATATTCAGTAAGAATGTTTAAGTTCATATACAAAGCCATTGCTGCTGTTATAACGTTTTCTATGTTTCTATGTTTACACATATACGTACATGCATATGCGAATGTTCAGCATACACATTTATATATTTTGGATTGTCGTCTAATTATTATATTTTAATAATTACCTTTTTCCTATGTAAAAATAGTGCGTTTAAAATGTTTTTAAAAGTTTTAGAGAAATAGTCGATATAAATGCCTATGATTTTTACTTTGGTAAGTGATTCGTTGTTCCGTTGAATAAAAAAAATCAATATGGATTAAAAGGGCTAATTTATATAAATATAAAACACTATATCTCAAAAATAGTTAATCCAAAATTACCTAAATGCTAGAGATCTTGGGCCAAGTGATCAACTGAGGTGGGGTATAATATAAATGTTTATCGAAATATAGGATATCAAAATAAACTGTTGCCGAAAAAAAACAAACATATAAACCACTATATCTCCAATGTCTTTTTTTTTGTATCTGTTAACTTTTTGTGGAGCATTGGGTCTTTCGGTTTGAATCATCTGAGAATTTTTGTTTATGCATATGTTAGGCTCGCAAATCTGATGTGCCGGTTGTCGTATGTAACGCAGAAGGATTTCTGGAAAAGTGATTATCCCTTGGAGAAGTTGTTCCGTTGATGTTTTGATCCATATTTTAACAATATTTATTTGGTTGAGTTATTCAGGAAGCAGTGATTGATGAATTCATAACTAACAATAACATAAGTAACAATCCGAACCGCCACGCAACCGCCAGCATCGCTCTCGGAATCACTATGCGTACTGAGCCCACTTGCCACGACAATGTAGCAAATCCCCCGAGAGTGATATCTCAAAAGTGGTTCAACAAAATTAAAAAAAAATAAGATGATTCTTGAGAAAAGAAATAAAAAAAATTTTTAGGGTGGGAATTGCTTTTTTTTGGAAATTATTAATGATTTTTGATGGACATATCATTTCACTCAACTATTTTGTTAAAATTTTTTTTTTATAATCTTAGATATATCAATACCTATTTATCTTTTGAATGTTTTTTGCTAAATAACTTTTCTGTTATCATGCATCGTTTTCTCTTGCTATCTTCATTTGAATCAAGATACCTTCTGCTTTTTACAACAAGAACGCACAAATTTTTTGCCATTACTCATACGTTCTTCAAGCCCTCAGCCTGTAAAACCGTTTAATTAATTATTAATAAGTAATAATTATTCTGGGATACCATTCATGATTTTACGCTATACATCCCAATTGTCTACTGAGCCCATAGTAATAGCTATTGTCAGTAGTGGATTGATCTCCAAGCTGACATCATTGTTATATGTTACGGCGGTGCTAAGGTAAATAAAATACTTAACGGATTCGAAATTATAATTGCCAGCATCCAGCTCAACGTCCGAGTAACACCAGTAGTCGATATATACTTCGTT